TTTCTGTTTCTTAATTGATAGTTATGTGATACCCATTCAACATTTTGCAATTTCCAACATGATGTTCCCTTTATATATATATATATATATATATATATATATATATATATATATATGTATGTATGTATGTGTGTGTGAAATCAAAAACTAAATATCAATAACTGTACTATTATATATTTTTTCTCTACAATATAATGGCTAACTCTCGAGTTGCATTTTAAATTGTCACATTACTAAACAAGTTATTGTAAATAATAATAAGGAAATCAGATATTTAAAATAAATTGAAATTTATATGTCATATCTATAAATATATTTTGAGCAGTTTACCAAGTTTTAAACATGAATTTTAATAATTAATGTATCTATACAACCGCACATGTTCAAAGAGAATTGCAACCATTTCTATCTCTCTTCTTCTGTATATATCTATCATATTCTGTCTCCATATAAACACACACACGCGCACACACACACACACACATATATATATATATATATATATATATATATATATATATATATATATACCTCCTGAGGAGTGGACTGAACGATCGATTAAAAAAGGTTCGTCTATGAATTTCCGGAGTCGAGGTCATGAATATAGCATCAATCACCTAAGTGACAAAATTTATTTATATTAACAATATATATGCACAAAACTAGTCCGATGAAATCCTAAATGATGACATACGTCACACGAAATAATTATGCACACACGCACACGGCGCGCACACACACACACACACATATATATATATATATATATATATATATATATATATATATATATATATATATATATATATATATATATGCCTAGAAGGAATTTTAAGAACTGTTAAAAAAGCGTAACTGACGGCATGAGATGGAGTTTGGATTTGCCAAATGTGCAAGAACGACGTTCGGAAAAAACTGTTGAGAACTCAATTCTGGATATATTAATCACGATAAAAGAGCAGGAACAAAAAGTATGGAAACGTTTATGAGTCAATTAAGGAATCCAATCCAGAATGGACAATTCTCTTTTGTAACAATTTTTTTTTATGAAAGTGGAGGTTCTGTAAAAAGAAAAGAGAACTTCATTCACCGAATAAAGTCAGAACATAAATACACATCCTATACTAGTTTAAAGATTAGAGCTTTAATATAATGGAAATTTGCGTAGATTCAGAACAAAGAGGGAATATTAAATGACCACAGAATGAGTTACAACCCATTTTGTTTTTAAATGTTTTTATTTATGCACACATACAAAAGAGCAACTTTTTTATAGCAAATATCTTAAAACCACAGAATTTTCTTTCCAATCCCGAAGAAATGGCATTCAGTTAGAAATGAGAGAAAACCGTGTGTAAATGTATTATATATGAGCTTGGAAAGAAATTAATATATTGAAAGAATTAAACGTCTTGCAAAGAAACAAAGAACTTGAGAGAAATTAGAGAACAGGAAATTTATCAAGGACAATAAGATCTTCGAAGCAAAGATACTGATGTAGAACACATGTACATCTATCAATGGTTTCGGAGTTGTGGACTCACATTAGAAACAGAGGTATTAAGTTTCACTACGCAATTAGAATATTATTCACAAGTAATTACCATAAATATGTTTTGAAAAATGGTACTGAAAGGAATTGCCTCTTTTGCGATTTACATGTAGAAAAATGATTAAAATTAAATAGAAACCAAAATATGACCGACTTTCTACATTGGAAAGTATGTAATCACTACAAATTACCTTATATTAAATAAATGATATGAAAAAATCAGAGTCGGTATCATAGAATAATTGGAAACTTTATGATTCTATCATTTGTTGCATATTAAGTGCTTCACCTGGATTACATATTTTAATTCAAGTTAACCCTTCTCTTAGACTGGCTTCCACACAAGGCTTAAAACCCAGTATGTCCTACTACTTAATCCATACCTGGGGAGGAGATAGATTCATACCTTTCCGAAATTAAATGCAACGATACACGACTGGAATTCGTTACTGTAGAGGAAAATAAAAAATAGGACTTTGCTGTAAATACTATCAGGGTTATTAAGGCAAACAGGTCAGATATAATTATCAAGCAATCAGAATAAAATCAAATTGAAATATACCTGAAACAAGAATTTAAGAATGTAACTAAATATGAAAAAATTGAAACTGAAATCCATAAAATGTGGCACAAGCTATTCATGCCACTGTTGAGACATGACTATCAACAAGTAATAAACCTCAGTAAGTTTCTAATGATTCTTCTTTCCATGAAATAAAAAAGTCGTGTTTGTTCCATTGCACACATAAACAAAAGGACATTGGCAATGTAAATATAAATCATATATTTAAGAAAATAAATATTCAACCTTCTGATTTTTCAAGTCATATGTAATGATCCTGAAATAGATTGTATCAAACAGAAGTTAAATGATGTATACATGCTCCATTGTACAAATTAATTGAAACAACAGTTTTAGTTTCCTTTATTTCATCATTCGGTCAGTTTTACACCCACTGGAATGAGAGGGTGTAATCGATTTCTATTTATTTATTTTTTTAGATTAGGTCATTTGCAGTGGTGTGTAGTAATATGAATCTATTTTAGGGGTGTATGATGAAATTCGTTTGACCTTGAAAAATATTGCGTCATTCGTGATTGCATCAGATGTTTACCACGCCCAGACACTATTGTCTTGACTGTCTATTAATTGTCCTTCGGCCATTTTGCGCGATGGACATTAATCCAAGGAAGCGTACGAAAACTGTAACGTTGCAAGAACACACTGGCAAGCCTTACCAGTGAGCAAATCAAAGTACTAGAGACTGGACCGAAAACTCTCCTGATTTAAATCCAATCGAGAATCTGGTTAATCTACAAGGAACAGCTTCGTGGAATGGACATACGAAGTACTAACACGTGCACTGGGTCATGTTTCATTGGGAAAATACGAAAAAAAAGTAAATAATAACAGAATTATTCGTTTTGTTTCAATTAATTTGCACAAGGGTGTACATACATAGATGTTCTGAAATTATTGTCCGATTTTAGAACCAACATTTATTTTTGAATTACTGTGTTTAAACAGTATTTAAATCAGTCAAAATAGGGAGCTGGAACAGCTACACATTTCTGACTAAGCGTTACAAGTTACTTATACCTTTAGAAGCTTTATAATATTTATAAGCTTTACAAGTTACTTATACCTTTAGCATAAATCTGTAAAATTTTGAACGCCATGAAAGATTTGAATGCAGTTTATGATATTTCTTTGCAACAGAATGTTTTTTGGCTTAAACATTTGCGAAGATGCTTGAAAAACTGGGAGTTACTGGGCAAGAGATAAGTGCAATATGGTGGGAATGGCAAATACTTGTATCCCAATACTGTGAGCTTCTACAGTGTTATCCTGTCATGAAGAAGAATTTGACTTTGTCGATTAACCAATGACAGTCGCGTTTTGCATAAAAAAATGTCCACTTCATCCTGCAGCTGGTAGAATGCTTCGGAATAATGCTCAGGTTAGATTTCAGAAAGTTGTAATGGATAAAACAAATGCTGCACCACTAGAAAATCATCATAATCTTCTGTTGGTGCTATTTAGGTTTTAGAAAGTTTTTTGGTTCTTTAGAAAGCCATCGAGCCGATCAATTGCGATTGTCATAAATGATCGATATCTCATGAGAAGTTATCATTCGATCAAGAAATGGATGTTTTGAATTTCGTAGATGCAGTATCGAACACATTTCAAAACATCGATATCTTTGACTTTCACTAAATTCTTGTGGAACAAAATGATCGAGTTTCTTTAACATTGCTACTTTTCTTGAGATCATTGTGGAAATGTTAACCCCCCCATAATCTGAGCTATTTCTCGGATACTTTGACGTGAATTTTGTTCAAGTAGAATGTTCAGAATTTTCATTTTAATTACAGATGGACGTCCTCTAGCACCATGATATTCAAGACTCGTATCCCAATAATGGTATTTCAGAAATCAGCGTTGTACTATCCTTCCCCCATTGTCTATTGATATTGGTAGCATTTTTAGAAGAATTATGAGCAAGCTTGAACTCATGCAATAAAAGCAAAAGAATCTCTTTTTCCTGTTTATAGCGAGGATTACATGATGTATTAAGTTGAAGAAAGGGGTTCATATAAGAATTAAGAATCTTTAATTATTAGGAATGAGTAAAATATTTTTGAGCAACTATTACAATAATATATTAGAATAGAATTTTAAATTATTCTAGATCGGACATTATTTTCTGCACAACCTAATACATACATATATGCATACATATAATGTCATACACAAACATCGACGGACACATACATACGTGTATGCATAGAGAAGGAAAGTATAAAATGTGAAGGAAATATACTTTAGGAATCATTACATCTGACAGATGTAAATTAAAATGTGCATGTAAGATTTCAATTTTCTCCCAGCATAGAAGCAAGTAATGAGAAGTTATCAGGCCGAGCCATATATAAAATCTGGCCAAATTAACAAACAGAATCTGTTTTCGTCATGGCAAGAATTTTTCATCCGCCTCCACGATTATTTACCGACAGGCTTCAAGTCTAGGTAACCGTCCAGATTTTGAACATCGATTTTTAAGGAATACAATCAAGCAAACAAGCTATCTACAGGAGGATGTTTGACGCAACTAAATCTTCCCAACCCAATTCATGCAACATTCCGCTTAGTATGAAACTAAGTTAAATATAACAATTTCTTTTTATTATTGATTAAAGGATCATTTTATTCAGGATGTCGGTTTCTTTATGAATGACAAAACAATGGTGAACAAAAAAGTAAAAACATTCACGTAGCACCGATTCAACCACGTTTTTTGTAGCTCCAGGAAAACAGGAAAAGAACACAAAAAAAACAAAAAAAAACAAAACAAAAACGAATCCATTTGTTTCTCTTTAATATAGGCGTTTCCTCTTCTTGTAGGAAGCCTTGGATTTTCTGTCTTTGGTCACGTGACTTGATCGACTATAATATGCGAAGATTTACCTCTGTAAGGAGATAAAGAAATGAAGAAAGTGATAGATAGATAGATAGATAGATAGATAGATAGATAGATAGATAGATAGATAGATAGATAGATAGATAGAATGTTGTACCCATTAACCTGATTTGCAAGAAAGTCGATCTCGATTGATTTAGGGGAAAGTATTTGTATGACAACGTCGAAGAGGGCGTTACATCCTGTATTTCTTCATGTCGGTTAGATTTTGAAGCATCATTAGTGACGGGGTTGGTGCACGCACATTTCAAAGGCCTTGCTCTATTGTTTCTTGCAAAACGAGTTTGGCGGCTCTCTCGATCAGGTGGTTTGGGTTTCACGTGACATAACATCTTGAAATAAGTGTTTCTAAGTAAATGAATAAATAAAACGCGCCAGCCTCGTAATTCAATTATACTGTTGCCTGTCTCATACCTGGAATACATCAAACAAGAAATGCCATCGGGCAGACAATACTTCAGTCCCGATGACGTAAATCTTTCAAGACTTCGTTTCTCAGTGTGTAAAAAGAGAACTGCAAATTGTTTGTTCATCTGAAAATTGGAAATCTGTCAACACCTGCCGATATCACTTCATGATTCGATCAAAGTTCAATGATTGATATTTACTAATTGGCTTCGTACGACACAAGGCTAAAAGTATGGAAATACGATCAGAATTAATCAGGTATTAATAAAGGGCAATGTCTTCTTGAACACTTTGAAACTGGTGACATGTTCTAATAAATATTTACAGGAGCTCCCCTATGTCCGAGGTTGTTAAATCGTTGAATATAATACTCAGAGGTACATAAAATAAAATTATTTATCGCGTTACTCTCCTTTATTCCTGATACCACATAGATTGTTGGTGCTAGTGTTATTTAAAGTTAATTAAAAGCAAAAACGTATATTTTGTTCACAGCTTTTTCGTTTGATATTTTTAAAAAATCAATTGGGTATTGTACTTTTTTCAATTGTATCTTCTCTCACCAATAAAGCTTGCTTATTTATTTCTATCGCATTTTTAGCCTTTAAATGTATGTTTATATTTCTGAGATGAGGTACTGTAAATATTTACACTATTTACATTGTTCGGAATATTGTCCCTGTCTTTATTGTCATATTCACGACGTTTCAGCTGTTATACGCTCCATCCTTCTTCAGATTATATATGTATTCATGTCTATGCTTGTCTGACTTAGGAGATCATCTAAGCCAGCCAAGCATAGACCGGAATACCACATGAGAACCAGTAATAGATAGTGATAGGGAAAAACAATAATAACAACAAATTGTAATATAAGCTCTGGTAAAAATGATTACTGAAACATTCGGTTTATAAGTTCAATAGATTCGTGCGCTATCGTCCCTAAGGATGGCTTAGTGGATAAAATATTAGCTGATGTAATCCAGTGACTTGACCCAAAGTTTTGTAAGTGGTATAAGTGTTGGCCACAGCAGAGGTGAATAAAAAGGAAAATAAATGAAACTGGGATATCAAAAATAAATAAATAAATAAATAAAATGATGGAACTAGAGGAGGAAATAAAGGGTTCGGTTCGAAATTCCAACGTATCACCTGAAGAATGCCGGAACTTACAACAGCCGAAACGTCGATAATATGACAATGAAGAATTGGACAATAGTCGAAATAATGTAAATTTTTAGTCTTAGTGCTCCATTTATTCCTTTTGAGGTTTTGCTGTATATTCCGAAAAGTTTTCTTTGCTACTGCTAAGGGGAAGTTAAAGATTAATTTCTAATTATAGTAAATCACTGTATTTTCCTTTACATTTTAATAATTTAACAATAACTTAGTAATTAATGAGCAAGGATTGATTTCTGTAATAAACAATGGTTAGACTATTTAAACTGAACATTTTATTTGGGAAAGCTTTAGATGGTCGTAACATCGGAGATATTCACCAAATTGTTCTTGCAGGATGACATTCAGCAACTACAGTTGTGCCGTCTATTGCTTGACGATTGAGTTGCCAAACTAACACAGTGAATTTGAATTTAAAGAAATTTTTTTCTTTTCTCTGAAATTACGTAATTTGAATGACTGTAAGTTGAGAAGCTTTTGTCGTCAGCCGAGTAAATATTTTCTGCCTACCTAATGGCGGATAAAATTCAATGGATTCTTCTAAAAATCAAAATTAAGAAGTGATTTTTGATTCTGATTTTGATTATATCGGAATACATAATTTAGAAATGAGTAAAAGATTTCATTAAATATCTTAAATCATGTAGCAATGCAATAATTTCGGAATATTTCCTGATAACTGCATTTAATATAGACGATTTTTAAAAAAAAAATCATATTAGCGAAACTCGCTAATTTCATGTCATGCACGGACTCATTAAGTGCTTTGTGTTAAATTTGGCATCAGTGAAAAAAAAAATTGCTTATTTTGTGCTTGAGAAAATTGCGTTTTCTCCACAAGTGCCAATGTGCTTTGTGTTCGAATGAATATTACATTTTAAAACAGACAAGATCACACCCACCGGGTGTAAGCTGGTGCCAAACTCTATACTTACCCCAATTTTTCCATTTGGTCTTGTTCCTTACAAAAGTAAGTTTATTAAATACCAGTAACCAGCAGATGTAACGAATCGGCCACACACAAAATGCTATGGATAAAAGAAATTTTGTCGATATTAGAAACACGGTTTTATTTAAAGAAACACTTCTTATTTAGTTTACGTTTTTCACGGATTTATACTGAATAAGAAAAAGACTCTTTGCTTTCTTTTAGAAAAAAAATCTTACTTTGATAGATTGCTGAGATGATTTGATATCGTGAAATGTTTAAAATACTTATATCGCAGATTTTTTCCCAAGCATGGTGACTTTGATTTCCGCTACGCACAAAGTTTGAGTACTGTTAGAAAGCCCGTTTTAATACAATATAGCAGGCGCCTATGTTTTTTCTTTTATTATTAAAATGAGACTAGCAATAAAAACGATGTATAAGCAATAATTTGCTACAGACAATATAAACTTGAGTGCAAGAGGATTAAAACTAATTGATGACTATTTGATTTTTCTGCAAGGAAATATGGAATAACGAATTAATATACCAATTAATTAAAATCACTTTCCATCTAACTGATCTCATTTCTGCCTAAATGACTTATACACTAAGTTTATTATTAATTCTTGACAACAAATTACAAGTATCTTAAGATTTACCTGGTTTTTATTGCAATTTTTACGTCGGCTGTCAGTATACTGCAGTGCCTAGACAACAGAAGATCGGGAATAAAAGACACTATCGATTGACAAAAGATGAGATCAATTGACAAAAGATGTTATTGATTGACAAAAGATGAGATCGATTGACAAAAGATGTTACTGATTGACAAAAAATGAGATCGATTGACAAAAATGCGATCGATTGACAATTGGAGTAAACTTTGCCATATTTAAAATTAATAAAATATAAAAATTAATTAATATTATTTGAAAAGAAATAAATTCAAGATGATAATGCTGATACTAAAATATATTTACAAATAATTGCTACAAAAAAAGCTGCAGGATAATATCACAAGGCCAATTATCCCCAATACATGAAAGATTTTCCTTTTCCTATCAACTATCCGCAACTGTCAAATGTTTTGATTCGAAATAGCGAAAGAGAATGTCTTTGATAATACCGAAAAATAAAAATAGAATTACTAAACATATCACAAAACAGTTGCCTACCAAGATGGGGGGAGCTGTGATAATTGCCCCTGTGTCTCTAATCCATCAAAGATGAAACACTCTTCATATCATTCTCTCTCTTCTACTTTATATATATATATATATATATATATATATATATATATATATACACAGAGAGATGTATATGGTTTTGTGTCTTATTTTATCTGCAAGTGCTGTCCAAATTTTCAGAGTATTTGACAAAAATATAAAATTATCCAAGTTTACAATTTCTATTTCGAAGAGATCTCTTTGGCTAAAGAAAGAATGATAATTGTTCCACGAACGTTATGGTAGCACCATGTCTATGACATATTTGCATATATATGTATGTATGTGTGTGTGTGTGTGTGTGTGTATTTGTACATGTGTATGCATATCGTTTATTCTTTTCACATCCATATCAATTTTTAAGTATATATTCCCACATCTGCATCTATTTAAACTACCACTGAAGCTAACTTCCTTCTATCATTCTGCGCCATCATATTTAGCCTTAGGATGTCATAACATAGGTTACCTATTGGATGATAGTGTTTTACCCACCTTAATGGTCAAAATATATTGTTTCTACCGGCGTCAGTGGTAGGCGTTCGGGCTAAAAAGAAATGACCTAGATTTGAAACTGATTTTCAAAAAATGACAGGCTCGGCATGCCCGTAGGTTTAAGACAACACAAACTCATTTGAGTTACATTTACTTAAATTATAAAAAAGACTATGGTGTGATTACTACTCTGTCAACACGGAAAATGAATATAGCAGAAATTTCGGCAGGTTTGGGATAGTTAAGGTAGTTATGTTAAGTTTTCTGTAAACAAGTGTAGCGTGTCAGTGACAATTAGAAGATACTACAATAAAACAACTAGGAGACGAGTATTCACAATTCACAATTCCCCTCATAATTAATATGAGATGTGTACACATTATATGGCTTGGGTCTGCTAGTCTTCCTAAATACGACATTGGTTGGTGACTGCTACTTTATACTTTTTCTTGGACATTTTTACCTATTCATGGACTCCACGTAGCACCAAAACGATAGGCTACACTCAGCAGGGTAATAAAATTGTCTAGATTTGATTTGAGAATCATTCTGGACAAATGGAGTGGTCATCACGCTTGCTAGACATTAACTGGTCGAAAATATTTAATGTTGTGGCACAGATCACAGGGAAATGTGGTTTCTTGCCTTGCTGCATAAAAGTGTAAAATCTTCAGATGAATTCTACCATTGTTCATCGATATTGTTTACTAAGTGTTTAACTAATCGCGTACAGAAAGTATTTATTCGAGGCTTCGAACATCGAGTATCTTTGCTGGCATGAATGTATGTTTTTCGTTGTGGATAAATTGTAAATTTATGTTGTCTCTTTGGCGGAATTGCTACAAACAATGATGAAAAAGAAAAAAAAGATGGGAAAATCTCAAAGTTTACATATTACAAATATAACGGATAACAACAAGTCGAGCCTTCCAAGTAAAATTAGTTGTGATCTGATTATTTGTTTCCCTGAACCCGATTGTTTCGCTCCACCGGGAGGGGGGGACTGTATTTTGGTTTCAGAGGAATACGTGAAAGACATTTAGAATTTCACGGGGTCACACAGACCACCACGATTAAAAGATTTGTTTATGGAGCTAGTTGACCTAAATTATGGAAGAATTCCTTGCAAATCATTCTTTATTTTGAGGATTTGGGGAAACAAAAATCCTTAGAATCAGAATAGATGCAAAATTGGTATTCAAAGACTGGTTCTCTCTATCATGGAATTTGAAATTGCCTGTTGATGTGAGTCTAAAAATTATCCTTTTCAAACTTCTATATATCAGAACAAATTATCAAAACTCGAAGCTGTTACTGGATTTGCATGAGGCCGTCTCATAGATACAGTAAATGGAAAGAAAATTTAAGAAAATATATAATTATATTTGCGTGATGGAAAGTATTATCTAAACCTATCAAATCTTATGTTTTCTAAATACATCCAGGTATATTTAACTCAGTTATAATATTTATTTATTTTTAAATAGATGGACAATATTTGAACGAAAATTGTCTCAAACCGGAAGAAGGAAATTTTACCATGTTTCAGATCAGAATGTTTCTCTTGTTAATGTAGGTATTTACTTAGCATTGTTTCGTCAGGTACTAGGTCATTTACGTGTTAACATGGCTAAGAGAAAATATGTACTTGCTACTGAGAAATACATAAGTAATTTTACTGTTGATTTTTATATTTTTCCTACTCTCTCTCTCTCTCTCTCTCTCTCTCTCTCTCTCTCTCTCTCTAAAGAAGAAAATGATCATGTGTGGCATTGTCTAAAGTATACGATTTGTTTCATACAGTATGAATGCAAATCGAATTCTTCAGACGCATTAACTGCTGATAAGTGAATAAAATCTGCTACTCTTCTCCAAAACTAATTGTAAAACACAATATATATGAATTTTGATTCATTTGCAGTTTAAATGTAAATCTTGTAATCCTTTCTATAATTATATCAAAGTTATGTGTCGAAGGGTTTGACGACAAACAGATATTTTACTAAGTAGGTTTCTCTGGCCAAGTTTTCTTAAGACTAACAGCCAATGATGGAATAAGCTCAGCTGAGGAAGGTTAGAAAAAACAATTCTGTTATAAAGAATTGTGTTCACTAGATTGGGAAAGAGAAAAAAATTTGTTTCACGCCTAATTCTCTTACACGAGAAAATACTAAAATCATTAACGACAAAGATTAAAACAACATACTTCTCCCTTTTATTGGCTCCATTATGTATTTATCTTCAATTCTAGACTACTCTGTTTTAATTTGAAAGAATGCCGAACTTTGATCCAAATAAAATATAAATTCCATATGGTATTTTATTTTTGACATAATTTATTCGGAGGAAAATAAATATAAAAGCATATTTTACCATATCACCTTCTAGCGCATCCCTAACATTTTGATAGAGGTGAAAACGCTAAGTTTTGCAACAAGCTCATATATTTTAATTTACGCTAAACGTGACAAATGAAATGTCATTTTGCCTTAAATGGCTTATATTTTGCGGATAAATCGATAGTAATCTCGTAATTGCATCGCACGTAAACAAATATTGTCATCATTTCTTACGGCTCCTTTAAAAAGACTCTTTAGTGATGGCGAGATAATTTCATATAAATTTTACATCAGGTTTTTCTTTTACGCATCATCAAAATAAATAAATGAAAATAAAAATTAGTGTCATTTACGAAACTAAGCTTGTCAAAACGGAAAACCAGTACGAATGAAATGGAAATAAGAAGAATGTCTGAATTTGCGCCCGGATTGATCTCTGGAACCGAGGATAAATAAGCAATGGTCATGATAGAATATTCAGCATAGAACTGCACAATAACAATCAGAGAAAAAGAGAAAGAGGAAGATTGTGTTAGACCAGTTTTCTTAACGGTGTAGTGTGCTTCTGATTTTAAAATTAACATCTGAAATCCTGGTATTTACCGCGTCTGGAACAATGATGTCTGACACAGTCAGAGATATCTCTCTCAGGCAAGAGGAGGTTCCTTCTTACAAAGCTTAAATGGCTTCAGATACTGCGCTTAGTTATTCCGGAAAAAAAAATACGCTAGTAGGATACCCAGAAAGGATATCGCTCATTAAAGTACTAAATAGTTGACGAGGTGAATTTGATGGCCAGCAAGTTTCAGAAGACATATGTCTTTCATATTTAGTGTTTGTTTGGCTTGTATTCATGTTAATCTCAATTTGCTTAGAAGACAGACTGGATAACAATTGCTCTATAGATGGTAACCTATAATTCTACATTATTTGGCTCTTATACCTTGTTCATTAGCATTGTTTAGGAAGGGAAATACACAACCTAAAACTGGAGACGAATTTAGCTATGTTCACGTCAAGTATACTTTTAATATTCCATTTCAGTCAAGACCTCGATTGTCGATTTGTTCGGTCGATAATAAAACTTACGAACGCCGCATTTATTTTTTATTGTGAATTGTAATCTGCCCATGAATAATTCTCTACTTGTTAATTTGGACAATGTTAAATTTAGATGTCTTCCTACACGCAACTTGTCAGTTCATCAGTCGATGAGATTATCTGTGGCCTGTATGGATGAAAGAGAAAAAAAAACGAGAATATCTGACTGATGAGTTTCCTTGCAATCCGGCGAAGTTTGCCGAATGTATCCGATGAATTTTATTCTTTTGTTATTAATATCCTTATGCTTGTTGAAAAAATACAAGTATTCGAAAACATTTTGGGTTAATTTATGGATTCGAATATATTCTACAATAGGAAATACACCGAACCTTCTATAAATTGTAAGTAGAAGATAACGCGTATTATTATACACTGAGTATTTGTTCTGATTCCTGTGAAATAAAATAGAAGGCATTAATTTAAACTGTCCCCACCGAGACACACACACACGAACATTATATATATATATATATATATATATATATATATATATATATATATATATATATATATACATATATATGTGTGTGTGTGTGTGTGTACTTATGGGTTAAAATGCACAATATCAGGGATAGAGAGTATGTATATATAAACGTGAACAACAGTTCCTAGGTGTTGACCACAATGTTCACTAACATAATTCTTTCGTTTGTGGGGAGTAAGGGAGTTGCAAAAATTGTCCGTATTGTTCACTTTCCAAATATCTTTTCGCCATTTCTTTAGTCATTTTCAAGGGGATTTGTTTTGGAATGTTATTAATTAGCCTCACCAAACGAAAGCTGACAAATTAGTAAATTTGTCAACTTTCAAGGAACTGTGGTTATTTAGTAAACTTAGATTAGTCTGGCAGAATCCCTAAATATGGTGAACTTTACGAGACTTGAATGCACTAGAGTAATTGTTATAAAAAAATAAATGGTATCTCCAAACTTTCCAATGTTTTAAATAATAAAGTTAAGATACGCTGCGTTGTGTAATTCAAGTTCGAGAATCTCTAAAGCAGTTATTCTTTAGAGTTCGTACATCTCGTTTCGTGGTGCGTTTTATACATCGATAAATTGCCATAAAAAATAATGGATTTACTGTTTTTTATATAACGATTGTTATATTTTCCAAATTCAGAAAGTCTATTCAAATTTCAATTCATATGATTTAACATAATTTTTAATCTATAAGATTTTCATGGGCAGTAATATTATTCTATCTCCACTTACGAATGTCGATTCAAATTAGAAATAATACAAAATTAAATTTAACTAATCTGTTCCGCTTAACAATTAAGACAAATATCATCTCTCATGTAATTTTAGTATGTTTGTTTGTATTTTAGTTCAGATGGCTACGACTTGCAAGATTCTTTCTTACTGGGTGCTAAATACCTGGACCTGTTTACGAGATTATTTGGTACTTCAGAGGTGCAAGGTAGCAAAACTTTTATTAAAACTGAAAACAACAAATAGGCTTCAAGCTTTGTTTGATTTTGTATTTACGTTCAATTAGCATTAAATTCGGGTACCTCCAAAAAAGAGTCACCTAAGCTTTAAAATTAAGATTTAAATATAAATATCTTCCTTGGAGCTTTTATCTTACTTTTAAATTCAAACCAATAGATTAAATTTAATATTTCTAATAAGCAAAATACTTATCAGCAAAACTTAATTCGCTTCATTAAAAATATTTCAAAAATAAAATAAACTTTTCTGAAACATTATTTAAGGAGGATTAACTAATTTAAAGTGTAATTAATCTAAATTAAAATAAATATTACTTACTTTTAGTTTAAAATATTTCAGAAAGGCATTTTTAAGATGGCGGTGGGTGTTTTTATAAGGTATTGCCAGAGTTATCGATAGATTAATGATTGGCATTTTTAACTAAAGGGCATATAACTATAAAAATTACTTGACGAATACAACATAGACGCCTTTTTTATATAATCTTTAACTACCTAATAATCTTAAAAATTTAGAAAAATATAATCTAATATTTTAGTGAATTTTATGTACTCCATTATGTACTTCATTTATGTACTTCATAGTCTTTCTTACGAAGAGGAAATTTTAGAAAATTACCAATAAATTTTAAATTTACTAATGTTACCTCTATTATTTTCTCATAATGTTGCGGATGGACATCCGTATTCACAAAAATCGGAACAGAAGAAATTCAAATTCAATTCAGGTGTTGCGGAATTGTAGTAAATTAGTCTGTCCTGATATTCAACCCTGGGAGATGTAAATGATTATATAAACATTAAGGACTACAAAAATGAATCTCTCGAAATATCATAAAGTTAAATAAGTAAAGATAACCGATGTAAAAATATTTTTATTGATTTTTTCTAAAAAATAAACGTTTGAAAAGTAATTTCATTCATTTATAGATAAAATCCTAAAGTTATTTGATTATTGCAAGAATTTCCAAATCAATGTTGTTCACTGCAAATAGACGCTACAATTTCCCACACTAATTTATAGTCACCTATGGACGCAAGAAAATCAAAAAATTCAAAAAAATTTTGAGAGTTCTAAAAATGATTAAAAAATATAATTTAATAATTAAAAAAATCCTGTGGCCTTTCCGCTTAATAATAATATGAAGATTTTGACGATAAAACTTTGTTTTTATTAAATTTGGGGCACTTTTTATCATGTATACGCATTGTTTAACGAATCTTTGTCGGTACCTACATCAAAGGCATTGGAAAAGATATGAAATCATATCCCTGGACTCTCTCATCGCCAGATATCTTAACAAAAATAACAGTGGGTAACGAAAAAATTAAACAAAACTAGTCGTCTGAATTTAATACAACCCGGTTAAAATAACACTTAATCCATATATATATATATATATATATATATATATATATAATTTTTTTTACAGCAAAAGTAAGGATAGTCTATTGCAAGCAAGTCTGTATTCAGCTATCATCAGCCCCTAAATGTCTGTCTCGGAACATTGTTTTAAATTTATTTTCAATGTCACTTATCCTCTAGTAGACGCCTTGTTTATGAGGAGGGCTTGTGTTAGCGACTGGTGGAGTGCGTAAGGTATCTTATTCCGGTAAAGCGGTCTGGGATTGGAGTTTATTTATGGATAGAACTAAATGTAGAACTAGGCCTAATTTCAAAAAATATAATTAAAGAAATAATCGATAATTTACTAATCACAACTTAGTACTAACCTTTGGAAGGATTCGACAGACACTATTACATGGTTCACTTATATGAGGAATAAGGATAATGCAAGAGCGTATGACTCCGCCCAAATTGCTGATCTGGTATGTTTTTACATTTTAGAGGTGCTTAGTAGAATCATAAAACCGGAACTAATAGGACTGTAGAGGGATGACGGACACATCCTCATCGCTAATATTAATGGTCTACTAACAGAGAAATTACAAAAGAAAATTATTAGGGCCTTCAAATTCCTAGGGTTTAAGATCGAAATTTCTTCTAACCTTAAAATGGTTGACTATCTAGATATCATCATTAACTTTAATGATAAAACCTTTAAACTTTACCATAAAGAGAACGAACCCCCCAACTATATTAATATCGGTTCTAACCACCCCAATGCAATCATAAGACAAATACCTACTACCGTGTTCACCAGTATTAGTAAACTATCGTCTAATGAAAATTCATCAATAAGAATAAAGAACTATACGAAAAAGCCCTCCATAAAAGTGGTTTCAAAAATAAGCTGTCTTACGCAACCACTATTAGTAATAGCGATACACGAAAAGTGGGATGTAGGTCTAAAAATAGGGGAAAGAAATCACTTGGTTCAACGCCCACTTCTGCAAACTGTCTAATCTCAACACCGGACAGTACTTCCTAAATTTAATTATTAAACACTTCAACAAAAAATGCTCTAAATAAGATACTCAATAGGAATTCAATCAAAATTAGCTACTCCTGCACTGATAATATGTATGAAATTATTAATTCCCATAACAATTACATTTTAGGTAAGTTCCATGGGAAAAGACTAAATCTAACATGGAAACCTCTTGTAATTGTAGAATTAAGGAAAACTGCCCAGTAGAGGGCAAATGCTTATCCACAAGGGCAGTATATCAGACAACCATTACCCTTAAAATATAGGACAAACCATAATATTTATATCGGCATTTCTGCAGGAGAATCAATACGCATAGACATTCATTCACCAATCCAAAATGAAATCACCAAACAGCCATTTCTAATAAAATTTTGGGAATTGAACGAAATGGGTTTGAATCCTCAAATAAGTTGGAAAATTTTAGATTTCGGGAAAACCTCTATAGTTTGGGATAGGTGCAAGCTACGTTTAGAAGAAAAAATCAGGATAATAAAATATAAAGATCAATGCAAACTATTAAATCAACGGAGAGAACTAATCACGAAATGTAGACATAGAAATAGATTCAAAATTGCATAAGAATACACGTGTATTTATGTGGGGGTGTTGATGTGAGTATAGTGGCATATATGTATGGATATGTAAATGTACATATATGTATGTATGATGATATGGGCGCATATAAGTGTGTTGGACACCATAATTTATTCCATTGGATTATCCGGTATTACCCACAATCTGTAAATCTATAATTCAACTAATTTGCATTAATCTCAACGGGTTTAAGTTTAAATCAATAATAATATTGGACACTTGTAGTACAAAAACTATTTACTGTGAATTCCAGGAATAAAAAACAGTTGGGGCTGGTATAAGAATCACCAAATATTAGGAACCAATATTTAGCTATAAACAACGAAAGTTTCTAGCCATAAATGAACTCTAACACCAGACCGCTTCCCCGGAATAAGATTCCTTACACCCTCCACCAGTCGATAACACAAGCCCTTCTCATTAACAAGGCGTCTACCAGAGGAAGACTGACACTGAAAATAAATTTAAAACAATGCTCCAAGACAAAAACTTAGATGATAGCTGCGTACAGACCGGCATGAAATAGACTATCCCCATAAAAAATACATATGCTCTAATAAATACATGGAGCTCGCTATGGATCAGTTTTGATAATTAATATTACTAGGATCCACCCGAATTATATACCAACGAATCGATTACCTGTACGATAGATAGATAGATAGATAGATAGATAGATAGATAGATAGATAGAAGTATAAATGCATAAATCCGACTAACATGATAAGCTGAACTTCATTTTGGAATTTTCATTCTATAATTTTCGATGTAATTGATTCCCAGTATGATTAAGCGTATTGATAAAAAAGGACATTTTGATAATAATTAAGTATAGGATCCTCCGTTAGGTCACGTAAAAAAAGCAGCATATCACGATGGAAAAATGTCCATAAATCAACGAAAACAAAGTTTTGTCTCAATATATTTATGTTGTTATGAAGAGGAAAGACCAAAGTAGTTTTTGATTATTTTTTGAATTTTTTTACTCCTTTCTAGCACGTAGGAAATATTGGTTAAAAATTTTGTTTTTTTTACGACAGCGTGAGAAGATAAAAAAAAAGGTCTGTTTTATTTTGCGCTTTTTCCGAGGAAAACACACGTTAATTAGGAAATTCTTGCAAAAATGAAATAATTGTCGGATTTTAATGAACCTTTCAGGACTTCTTTAGAAATGAATGAAATTATTTTTGAAATCTTGTTAAAAAGAGATTTTTTTTTAACACGTTTCCACCCACTTACATATTTTCATGAAGTTTCGAGAAATTAAATCTTTACGCACGGGATTTGTTTTATTAGTTATAAACAGGACTCTTGGTAGAAAGTAAATCACCAGTTCTTTTTGCAAAACAGTACCTGATTTCATAGAAAATCTGCTATGAATTATAAAAAAAAATGTAAAAATGTATGAAAATTATTTAATTAGAAAAGCTTTCACCTGTTTTTGTAAATACGTTATATTAAGGACATTATTTTGTGAAGAAATAATTTTTTTTCGATGAATAATGTATTTTTTACAATTTTTTTTTTCCATTTTTAATTTTTTTTTCATTAACTTCTTAATACTTCAAAAATCATTTAAAATTCTTTATTGCTTTTAAGCACGAAATGCAATGATAACGTTAATGAAAAAGTAAATTTACGAATCGAAATTTGAAAAACACATAACAGTCGTTTGACCCCGAATATTTTTAAAATAATTTTTAAAAAAAGTTTTATTGAAAAAAACGTTCATAATTTCTACGTATGGAAATGTATACATGACATAAGCCTTAAAAAATTTTAAACAATTATCTAATTAATAAAAAACTTTAAACAATTATCTAATTAAGAAAGTATGAAATAAAAAATAGATATTACATAATTGCTGAATAAAAATGTTAATATTTAAAAAGTACTAGTTAAAAACAAAAAACCGTGTTCGCTTACTTTGCAAAAATTGTCAATTTTGATCATCCATAGTAATCTGTCATCACCCCGTCATAATCGATTTCTTTGATAAATTCAGACACATTGTTAAGAAATGTTTGGATACAAATTTTTATGCTATAAGTAAGTACTCTTTGTTTCATATCAGATTAATTTAACTTTAAATTTTCTAATTTTACTCAAATAGCGTGTCAAAAATATATAAATTTATTTTAGGAAGAAGTTTAAAATCAAAATTTTGTTTTTGTTTACAAATTTCTTAAAATTTAAGAAAATGGCCGCTTTTAAGAAAATAAAACAAAAATCGAGTATATATTTGACATTCCAATCATATAGTTTCAGATAGAAATTATATAAATTTCTATCTGAAATACACCAGAATATGTTACTTACTGTAAGTAATAAATTTAATGCTTTAGATTTCAATTAATAAAAACATATTGAGACAAACCTTTTTTTCCGTTGATTTATGAGCCTTTTTTCATCGTGATATGCTGCTTTTTACGTGACCTAACGGAGGTACCTAATTAAGGATAACAATTGTTTTAGCTACTGAGGGTATTCTGATTTAGTCTTATTGCTAAAAATTGTTTTAGGATTTATACATCTATATCATTCTGTCAGTAATATTTGGTTTTAATATCAAAAAAATAAAATTCCATGGCTTCAGCAGAGAGACCAAAACAGTTGGATATTTATCAAGGCGAATTAACTAAAACTGAGATAACCAAAGGCATGGTAATGGGAATGAGAACAATCTACCGCCGTGAACTAAATAAACGTTTCGGTCCGAAATTTCAACAAATATCACCTGACGAAGGACGGAACGTGAAACTGTTGAAATGTCTTTAATATGACAGTAAATATGAGCACAATAACCAGAACAATGTAAATATTATAAATAATGATTTCTTTTTCTTTTGATATATAACCTTGACACTGAGTGAGAATACTCATCAAAACAGAATAAGGTCAACAATTGCAGAATTTAATATTCATCATTTTTCCCGTTCTGAAAAATATTTTGTTTTTGCGGAAAATGACTAACGAACAATTAGCGCAAAACACCACTGATTACATAGAGAGTTACGTAGCATATTTTCGCGACAGGAGATATAAAGCGAAGTAATAAATATCCTAGTATCTTAGGATCTGGAATGTATTGGTTTTAGCCTATTTTCTCATTCCGTAATTTCCCACAATACCAGATCCGTAAGAAAAATAAACACGGAATTTTCCCTTTATTTTTCTTATAATGTGCTCGAGCAATTTGCAACATTTATTATGTTTTTGAATAAAAAAATTATTTACATTATTTAGTGTCGGATTATGTCTTCATTTTTGTACTCATTATCAGAATATTTTGGAAGTTGCATCATCCAATATTCTTCAGGTACCTTTTGATAGAGATAATTTCAGGGAATCTCGAATTTGATGAATCTGATGGCATAGTATTTTTCTGTTCAACGCCTGGACTGGACCCAATGCAAACAACAGTAGAAATAATTGGGCAGTACTAAAAAAGAAGAAAAGATAGTTGCACATATAGACAGGGGAACGAGAAAGATCCAGTCCTATAGATTAAATAAAGTGTTCAGTTTGAAGTTGCTTGAAGGTCATCTGGATCAATCGATACCTGAAGGGAGGGGGATACACAATGACCCTCTACTTAATGATAATATCTACAAAAATGAGGACATTAGTCTGAGTGTAAATTACATAAATAATAATGATATCTCATCCTAGCTATTCAAACAAAAACATATTCTATATATTTTTCTTTTTCTGTAGAATTGTGATGTGAATACCAGCATTTCAGTAGAATTGGTAAATGAATACCAGCATTTCTCTAGAATTGCGAAGTGAATATCAGCATTTCTGTAGAATTGCTAAGTGAATATAAAAACTTATTGACAGCTTTGCAATAATGGAGAGATGCGTAAGTGTAAGGCTATTAAACATGATATTTTCTTTTGTAAAAGATAAATACAATTTTGGTTATTCATTTCTTGATATGTTATTTATCAAAATTATATAGAGAGATTAAGTTTCATTTGAAAATCATTTAGAATTAATTTCGACTGATTTAAAATATAAAATAATTGAATACATTGCATGTTATATGTACTAGTAAAGATATTTTTATAATTTCTGCAATATATCTGTCCGATTGCAATAGAATGATACATTTTATTTTATTTGAAAAGTATTGTTTTTCAAATGAATTATAATAATATGTAAAAAGTGTTTATTTGTTAGATATGTGTTCAAGTAATTTGTTTCTTCATTTTAATAGAAAATTATTTGATGAATGAAATGAAGGCATTTATATGCTGCAACCGTTACTTTATGAAAATCTTTTTAATTAAGGTTTCTATGGATTTAATTACTGTGTCCAAGAAATAAATAATACTTTAAGCTTTCATAAATTAAGTCCAGGTTGTTTGTTTTGTTTTCATCTTTATTTATAAGAAAAATATTACCAAGGACTACAAATACAATAATATTCTTTGAATTCTATTGGAATCTTTTTTAAATATTATTTCACATCCAAATTTGTAGAAATTAGAGAAAAAAAAAAAACTAAAATAAATTCTTCGTATCTAATATCCTCGCTTCTTCCCAACTCAAACTTGAGAGTATTTTATAAACAACAATGTTGCATTTTATATGAATATGAATGAATATTTAAAACTGACGATTGGTGTAAAATTGTTTCTCAACGGTCATTGAGCAGACATTTCCCTTTTCGTGTCTCAGAGATGCTTGAAAGACGAAAAGTCATACTCAGTCCATGACGATGTCACATGTTTCTCAAGTGTTGGTCTGGCAGTAAAGAAAAATGTTATTTTTTTTACTTGTTTGGAAAGCAATGCCTTCAATGTAATATGTCCATTTTATTCTCACTGTATGGATACTTATAAAATATTTTGTTTACACTAATCGAAAATTGTGATTTTATTCTTTGATAAGCCTCATATTATTGTGAGATCATTCTGGCGAATTCTTGGTTAGGAGAAATGAGGTTCCAATTCTGAAAAAAAGAAAAGTGACAATTCAATGAAACTTGACATAAAATATTGATTTCTTGATAAAAAAAATAAAAGTCCTAATTACCATAAAGACATGAGTATATTCAGTGGATTACTCTCATGTAGACAATTGTTCTCATCTAAAATATTTCTCTAAAGCCTTTCTTTATTAAATATTAAAATAATTACTCAGCTGAAATGATACAAATATTACGAAGATTAAATTGATCTTCTATTTTAATTAAGGAATGGAGAAAAGAATTTGAAAAACGAGAAACCGTCTACTCTTGTCATTTTTCATGGACGTTATTTCACAATCTTTAAGACGTTCATTTCCAAATCTCAACCACGCACGCGCAAAGAAAGGTTTTGATAACGAACACCAATAGAAATTTTAAATGAAAACTTTTGAACATTTATCTTTGACATTTTTCATATAAAGTTCTTTCATAATTACTGTTTATTATTTATTTTTCAATCATTCCTTTATAAATATTTTCAAATAAAGCTTATGATGCGAATTATGATGTTGAAAAAGAAAACTACATAAAAATTACTAAATATGGTGTGTGACGGAATGAGTAGAATTTGTTTTTCCCGCTTAATCATTAAATATTCGCGTCCAGACGAATCCAGATGATGTCCGTGAAAGATCTCGCGCTATAGGACGCTTGCTCAAATCTTGTAATGAAATCTATTTCTTATTTCGTGCTGTTTACTTTAGCAATCGGGTGGGGAGATGAAAAACAATTAAAAGTTGGAAAAATACACTTGAGTTTAAATTATGAATTAATTACATCCCTGGTGCGTGTAAACAGGGTGCATTATCTAAATAGATACAGGCAATATCATTTAATTTACAAGGAGTTCATAACTTTCTGAAATTGATTTCAAGAAGTTATAGATTGAGAAGAGAACTTTTCAATCATTGACTTGAATAACTTAGAACGGATCAGTTCCCAACAGTGGGATACTAAATTATATTTTACACGGTATTTTTATTTTACGGTCTAAAGACAAAAAATCGGCTTTGTAAAGGAAAGACTAATACTTTAATAAATGAAGACATGTTAATGGAATTTGTTTGAAATAAGACGATGATTGAAAACAAAAGTGAAATATGACAATTAAAAGAAAATCTTGTGACATGTTAGAAATAGACATCAGCACTTAAACTGGAATAGTCATTGATATATTCGCTCTGCTTCTGAGTTTTAAACGTCAAGGCAAAACTTGTAAAACAAATGTAAGTAAAACTGCAATCAAAATGCCATGAAAAACTTAATACAAACTCGATATAATTCCATAGTTATTAACATTTTTTAACGTATCTCCAAATTCGCATAAAACTGTCAACTTCGAAAATCTCTAACCCTCTTTCAGTATACTCGGTGACCTTGATAATTTCCTCGTATTCACAGTTATTCTAATCGCTTTTCAAAGCACTATAAGACTGTCCCTATTGCACTACATGATTAGAAATAACATCTACAGGTTCATAAATCTCTGGAGTAATCTGGGCAGTGATATTGTATTTTACAGCAGAGACGTACTCTTTCAAAATATAAACACAAAATCACAATACGTGCTTCTCGTTAAAGTTCAAGCTTACACCCACCTCCAGTGGAGTCAGGGTCAGGTTAAAGAAAATTTCTGTCAATTTTATTTCTTCCAGCATTTTCCTGCAAAATTTTCGAAATACGATACTTGTTTTAAAAATATATTTAGGATTTTCAAAAAATTCTAAACATTTTTTACCTTTTCGTTTCAATGTCATATAGTCATGCAAGAGTTTGTAGCATGTGTATATTTAAGATATGTATCACTAAAGAGAAATAAATTGTATTAGTGCTACCAGTACTGGTAATTATTTTATAAAATTTACTAGCAGCATGGCCCGGTGTTGCCTGTGCTTGATTCAAAAATCGTACGACACATACAGCAATCGCTATCACTTGACTTAAAATATTTTTGCCCTTCCTTGCCTTTAAAGGAGTGCCCTTTGCCGTGATGATGTTGCTACATGCCTTACTTATTGCCTATCTCACACTGCGAATTTTTTCTAAGCTCTATACTAAACATTAAAACTGTTACGAAAAAAGAACTAAACAAAATGAACACAAAACGATCAGCTTTAAAAAAGGACTCGTAACTGAAAAAATCGAATGAAAAAAAAATGTTAACAACAAATACTTTTTCACGCCCAAGCCCAGTTCTGCGGAATCAGAATCAACGTTGAGTTTAAGCAAGCGAATGAGTCAATTGGAGTAAAGTGCTATGCAGATTTAAATTTTTCCCACTTGTGACGAATGCAGCTATCGATTTTTTTTTTGCATGGTTGCATGCTAGTTAAAATTCGTGACAGTCAGCTGTTGGCTCTCACGCTGGCCAATAGAATCTTCCTGCCTATTTGTGGCAGCCAGCTATTAGCTCTCACTCTGGCCAGTAGAAAATGGCCGCAAACTACATGAAAACTGCCGTAGAAGCATGAAAAATCGATTATTTCCACTATCGATGGGTGTTGGGAAATGCAAAGTCGGTCTTGGCCTTCTCGCTAACTTGGAGCATGTGCATGTAAATTTTTGGTGCAAATCCGTCGAAAATTGCGGCCGTGCATTCGTTACACACACACACACACACACACATCCTGCCTTTTATAGAGAGAGATATGGTTTGAATTTTTGGTATTATCTATAATTATTTGATGGATTTCTTGTTTTTTCTTTGTAATGATTGGTAATGCTCGATTTAATAGAATTAATATTTGATAACGAGTCTACACAAAATGTTAGTAATTTTTTCGGTAAAATATAAGTTGACTACTATTATTATTATTATTATTATTATTTTCATCGTTATTATTTCTATTGCATACGCATTTCCTTCCGGGTCCCAACCAAAAACCTAAGTTCAGAAATGACTTCATGACATTTTCCACTGTAACAAAAAGAACGATCACATACATTTTACATAGATAAATCCCTTCGAAAGGTATGAGACGTGCTTGTGTGTACATTTTTTTTTCGTATTTTTTTATGGCACGGGTTACCAGGAACTGACAGTGAGTTTATACGACCCTTTTCCAATCAATTCGAGGGCCCGAACTACACCTGGAATTATAGATGCTCTCATGTAGCAGAGTTTTGAGATTTTCATTTCAGGATCCTTGTTTTTTGAAAGTTTTTTGAGGATCTTCAAAGATATAATACAATCTGCAGGAACTGCCATGTTAATAAGACATCACATTCTACTCTTGTGTTCTTTGATCACAATGTCTGGGCGATTGTAAAGTCCCATAAAATTTTTGTTGTTTTATTATTATTAATAATAATATAGAAATATTTTCTTGAAGTTTTTATTTTTTTAATCAAGTGCGACAATTTAAGTATCTAGGAAGCGTTTTAACAGAGGACGGAAAGGGCAATACTGAAATCTGAAGGTGCATTGGGATAGCGAATGATGCCCTCTAAATGCTAAGCAATGTATTAAGAAACTAGAATTTCGTCAGAAACAAAGAAAATAATACTGGACTGTTATGTAATATCGGTCCTTCTATACGCTAGTGAATGCTGGATAATATCCTCACAGTTGAAGAAGAGACCTGAAGCAACAGGAATGTGGTTCTACAGAAGGATACTAAGAATACCATGGAACGAACATGTGAGGAGCGACGAAGTTTTCGAGAAAATGGAAACAAAAAGGACACTTATACTTAATATTAGAAAGATATAGTTAAAATTTATCTCGTACAAAATGATGAAAGAAGGCCTGGAAAATTTGATACTCACAGTACAGATTGAAGGCGAGTGGGAGGAAAATGAGAGGAATAGATGCAAATGAGGGGGATAGAGGCAAATGAGAGGGATAGAGGAAAACGGCGCGTAAATGGATAGCGGAACAAGTTTTAAGTGGACATAACAAAAAGAAAAAACATTAAGAGCTTCAAAGAACAGGAAATTGTGGAAAGCCACGATTGCCAATGTCCTGAAAGAACACAGCACATATAAAAAGTGAAGTGATTTATTTATATTATCCGGGACCTCGCCGCTTTTATATTTTCCAGATACAGATATAAACAGACCATAATATCTACCATTGGTAGATATGAACTGGTATATAGAAACTATGATAGGAAAGTTTATCAACTGACACAGATAGATAGATAGATAGATAGATAGATAGATAGATAGATAGATACTTATTAAAAATCATTTAAGCGAAATAATATTTAATATATTTAAAACATTTCTTCAGGTGTAGTTGAGTATTTCTGCTCCCCATATCCATAGGATTGTGTGTCATTATTTATTCAAAATGTGTGTGAATGTATTAAATATGTAATAATATTGAATACATAGAAATATGTTATTTATGAAAGTGTCTTGTCTTACTTTTCAATGTAAGCATCTCTTGCTGTAATACTGATGGTCTGAATTAACGTTCCAATGAGTTTATTTTGCCACCCATACATGCGTGCGTGCGTGCGTGCATCAAGCAGACACGACCTGAAAACTGCGCAAATACGGGAAAAACATTGGCGATTGGACAATGGACAGAAACATATTAGTAACGTTCGCGGCACTTCTCACACGTGAAAGTCACCATCTGCTTTTGTTTGAGCGGTGATATCGCTCAACCAATCAGGAACGGGTGTTGCGGAGGCCATATTCTTTTAGTTAATAGCTAACAAAGGATAAAAAAATAAAATAAATAAATGGAAATAAGAAATAAAAATTGAAATAAAGGCGGAAGATAGAAAATAGTATAGGAAGTCAGAAAAAACCCAGTTCGTTTGCATTTCAAATAATTCTTTTGGGAATGTCTCAAATATGAAAATCTTAATAACGCAAAAATTACTTACATTACTCGTTAATATTCTGTCTGTTTATTTGTCGATATTTCAATCGTTAATGACTTTTATATCCTTTGTGCTTTTATAGATAATTTAATCAAATTTAAAATCTTCAGTCCAAACTATGTTATGCCACCTGAGAATAGATAAACCCGTTATGAAGGGAAATATTTTAAAAATGAGTGACCACAACAGAAATAGAGGGACATACAGATGGATGCTAGAACCCAAAGTAGCGCAGAATATATAAAACTCGATCTGGCAGCTAATTCGCATGTGCATAGAGTTTCAGCTACTTTGAATACCAGAATTCTATGTGCTTTTTCCGATGAAGATAAGTTTTGACACTTAATATATATATATATATATATATATATATATATATATATATATATATATATATAGTATGTGTGTATGTGCGTGTGTGTTTTGGGTAGCAATCCCTCGTTTATACAAGTTTTATTAAAAACGACTATGTATTGTGGTTAGGTTTTTATTTAATTTTTCATGTGTTCTTATAATTTTCTTCTTTTCTGGATGTAAATTAGGTAGAAATTATGCGAATATAATAGCCTTATTCCCATGTTAAAAAAGGCTAATAATAATAGAAGCTTTTAATAAAAAAGAAAAGAAAAGGCTAACACTGAAAATTATCAACTATGAACACGGCCACTTTATGTTGACCGTGTTTAGAAAATTAAAAAAAATCCTATAACTGTAGATACATACATAAAACAACCCATGCATACAGTTAAAAGTAAAAATAAAATTCATCCGAAAGCACTTGGACACACAATTTCTACATAATTTACGTCCAGAAAAGAAGAAAATTATAAGAACACATGAAAAAATTAAATAAAAAGAATTAACTGCAGTTCCTTGCCAGTCGTTTTTAATGAAATTTATAACGAAATCTTGTGCGAAGCGTTTTCTCCTTTAGAACTTCATCGGACAAAAGTAATGTTTACGTTGATACGCCTGCGCAAGTATACGCAAGAGAGAGGAAGCAAGCACGTTTTCTCTTCATTTCAAAACAACCAATTTTATTTATGAAGCATTACAAAGAAAATATATATTTTTTAATTACGCGTTAATAGACTAACGTCACCCTACCTATAATACATTGCTTGTTTCCACAGTAAAATGACGCCAAAACCGAAGCAAGGTCTTCAACTTGTCATAAAGAGACATGCTCATGTATAATTTGGCGTGAAATTTTTTTGCTAATATATGTTATCATTTTCAGACACGTCTATTTAGCGTTCGTTTTTTCTCGTAATATTTGGTGAAGTTGTTAATTTCTAAGACGACTTGGAATTTCTATGCGCCATTATTCGCATGTTCTATCCACTGACTTGCAACACTTGAAGAAACGGTGTATGTTTTGTCCATAACTAAAGAGGTTAATCGTCTGTATTAATCATAAGTGTTGGATTTTATAGATTTTATTGGTCTCTCGGCAGTTTCTATTGCCTTTTTGTTTGTTAGAGAAAAATTGTTTCCAATTTATTCAATAGAAACTTCTCTTTGGTCTGTGATTGCGTTAACGATCTTCATTAAGTGCTTACTGATTAATAAACTTCGAGTAATCTGACACAAATTCGCAATATTAGGACACCCAGTGGGAACGTAATACCCTACACAAGAAAAATCATCTGAGATAAGCTTGGTAATCTCAGCCACGAAACAGGTCGTTTATTATTATTATTATTATTATTATTATTATTATTAACCATTTAAATGTCGTTTTCAGCAGCCTCTTGTCGATGTCAATCACTTCACATTTATTGAAATTATTTTGCTAATAATCCTGAAGTTTTATTGTTATTATTAAACTGTCGATACTTGTATGTCCTTGTAACGAATGAGTGCAGCTATGTCAAGGGTTCTTCGCTCGTTAGGTTTATTAGTCAAGGAAACGACTCTGTAATTATTACACTAAGTAATTATTTTCATTGGGAATTTCTTCAATTAATAATTAATTAAAAATATACTCCAGAATCTTAAAACTGGTGGAACTAAAATTACGTTTTTAAGTTAGTACGATAGGTACCTTATTCATCGAAAAAAATTTTCTTCAGATAATAATGTTCTTGAAGTATATTATTTATAAAAGCAAATAAAAGCCTATATAATTGATAATCAGATATTTTTATTGCAGCTTATATTATACGATTTAGAGCATATTTCTAAAACGTTGGCAGTAGTTGTAAAAAAATGATGATTTACATTCTCGATGGAGTCTTGCTTATAAGTAATATAAAACAATTTGCGAACTGTTTGAAATTCTAGAAAATTTCAGAAAATTAAGTTGTGGGATTAACAGATGTAAAAAAAAATATATTTTTACGAAGATTTTCTAAAAATACAAATTTCAAAAATAAATTCATTCATATTTGAATAACTCGTGAAAGTTTCATTAAATTCAAACAATTATTTGATTTTTGCAAGAATTTCCAAATTAATGGGTTTTCTCCCGGAAGCTGCTATACTAAAATAGCCATTACCACAAGTAGTACAAAGTTGACAAAAATTAACGAGATTTTTTACCCAAATTTAGAATGGGTTAGATAGAAAGAAAAAGTTTTTTTTTTTAAATAATTAAAGAAATACTTTGTTACTTCCTCTTAATAATAACATAAACATTTTGACAATAAAACATTGTCTTTTACAATTATACTATACTGATTTTAGCGAATTATTGGAGGTACCTATAATGTGGCGTATCTGCAGGCAAATGTTAAAATTGATTCTTTATAACTGAAATCATTTCATCTTATATATATAATTATATATTTATATAGTTAAACCTAGGAAGCCAGACAAACCTACCAAAGTTTCACCTAAGCGGATCGTCAGGGAAGGGTGGCTATCAGCCTTCCCTGATGATCCACCAGCCTTCCCTGACGATCCGCTTAGTTGAAACCTTGGTAGGTTTGTCTGGCTTTCTATGTTTAACTAGGTCTGATCTACTTACTGTATCGAGCACTTTATTTAGTTATCTTGTCTACTCGTATCGGTTTTTTTTTTGTTTGGGCTTTGGACTTGCATACTAGACGATTACTTTCGTCTAACGTACATGTTCTTGGTTCTTTCTTTTTTATACCTTTTTTCCCTTTGGTATTGGTTTGATTATTTGCAAATCAAAACACTGAAGGTTTTCCGAACGAGTATAATTTCTTATACTTATAAGATTACTACTACTACCAATATATATATATATATATATATATATATATATATATATATATAAGACCAACGTATTGTAACCCTGATCGTGATGGTGATTTTGAAAACACACGTGTGCGCGCTCTGTTATAATTATTTTAAGATTTTAAACGTATCCGTTGTAGCTATGGCGTTTTTGCATACAAACGTCCACAATATAAGGCAGCTAACCAAAAATGGTAGAAATGCCATATAATATTAAATGTTTATCAAATACATTTTATAATTTTGCTGCCAAATATAATTGGTCATTTTAATGAACAGGAATTATTTTGTGGTTTTGAAATTCAATAAATATTCATGCATTTGTTTTTCCTAAATAGAGATGTGTATTTAAAAATGATAAATTTAAATCTTGTTTCAACCGTGTGACTGACATTATTTCAGGCTGCTGCCAACTTATGTAAAACCTTTTGCGGTATAATATACTTCATTAATAATCATAATTATATTATAATATGATTATAAATTTTTATTTATTTATTCAATATATTTAATAGCCATAATCCCAGACTGAAGGATATTTCAGTTAGAATTTGTTGTGTTTTATTTATTCAAGTGTTTGCAATTATTTCTGAAATTTATATCTTGTAATATGTTTCGTTTTTACCAGTGCCTGTCTAACATTTAGAGCAATTTTTAGAGCGTTTTTGGTTGTCATGCTGATTAGGTGGTTTTATGGCACTGATAAATAGGGTGTTGGTAATTCGAAATGAAATCTGTGTCATTTCATTAATGCATATGTTTGAGATCTTTTATGTACTATTTTCTTCAGGTAATAAGTGTTCATGTTTATCCAGAGATTACTACTTTTATACATGGCTTGTGAATTGTCATACATTCTGCGTTTACATTACATTCACTGCTGTTTGGAATTCAGAGTTTTCGTCCCTAAAACTGGTTGCTAGCAAAGGCTAGATAGTCACGATTACACTGTTATTTACTCCATAGCTGATATACAATTTCTCTCTCTCTCTCTCTCTCTCTATATATATATATATATATATATATATATATATATATATATATATATATGAATAAAATGAGAAGTGGAAAAATATTCTTAGCGGACGCGTTTCGCCCACCGAGGGACGTTATCAGAGCAAATGTAAGTTTTATTTTACTGCACGCG